CGTTTCAGAAAGGCGGGGCATAGAGGAGCAACAATAATGTACATTATGTGGAAAATGATAAATACAAAAAATACAAAATACAATACAAAAAATAATGTTCTTTTTAGCAACGTCATATGTCCCCTTTAAAACCCATTATAAACGAGGCATTTGTTGCATCCAGTGGGGACATAATTACGGATTATAATGACTTATACTGTCTTTTTATGCGTTGCGTTGCGTATCGCGCTGCATAAACATAAAACCATGTCTGCATTTGTGATCGGAGAAATGACAAACGCTACTCTACACTGCTCAAAACTCGCGTTTGAATCGTCAGTGGCAAATTCTTTAAATATAAAAAACGTAATTACAGTCCGTGAGTCAGAACAGCCGGCATTGTATTCTACTCCACCAGGATCAGGAAACAGTCCTCCATAAAATGCGCTGGACACATCGGAATTTTTGGGTTGAACTGATCAGCTTGTAACACTCCAAAGAGAAAGGAAAAATTGAAATCGCATAATATGACCCCTTTAAGACAGATGCATTTTAAAACAGTATCAGTAAACAGAGCCTATTAGACACAGCAACAAATGAGTTTATTGATTGGTTTATTGCAAAACAATATTTACTAGTGTACCTTACACCATGTGTAAGGCTTTTCTTCATTTCATGCTTTCAGCAGGTTTCTCTTTTCTCTCTCAGCTGAAGCGGAGTGTCGTGTGAGAGCACTCAATAAGTGAAAGGTAATCACAGGTGACACAGAGACACAATTAGCTAGATATCTCCTGATTTCAGCCTCAGGAAGAGTTTAAATCGACAGCATCACTGAATCAATTTAAAACAAATGGAAATGTAAATTACAAACAGGCATTATGGTTGGGGGGAGAGATGGCCTGCCACCTCACTTTAAAGGAAAATAAGCAAGGAGCTTCAGATAACATTAAGTTTGCACTGAAACAGGATGGAGAGGGTCAGCATGCATTTAACCTCGCTGGGTGGTGTCTGTCTGTTCGCACTTAGAGGAAACAGAGATATGGAGAAAGAAAGAGACAAGGGACAAACAAAATGCACACACCCACAGAGGAAAGAGGTTTAATGAGGACAACATTGAACATTACCAAATACTCGCTTGCACAGAGAACACCGAACACAAACACACGGATAAGAGGAAAAAGTACACCCAAGAAAATAAACAGAGTTTGCCCTTTAAATGCACATCGATGAGATGTCTCCCTCTGAGAGACATAACTACTGCCTCAAGAACTGCTGCTGGGGAGAGACACAAGCACTAAAGCTGGAGAACGACATGAACATGAATCAAGAAGAGATTCCTCTTTTTCTTTTCAGACTGATTGTATTGCTTTTGGTGTCTAAGACCCCAATGATTCAAGATTTTTCTAATTAAACTGTTATTTACTTCAAATTACTTTTTAAAAAGTTTGCCATTTGACATGACTTTTGCAAACTTTGCTTCTGTTTGGAGTCAGTTTTACCTAGGCAAAAGCACATTTAAAAAATACAATAACATTTAAATAAGTGTGCATTATGCTGTATATCACTACTGGTCAAAAGTTTTGAATTACTCACCAGTCACCAAGGTTGCATTTATTTAATGAAAAATGCAGTGAAAACATAAATGCTGTTCTTTAGAACTTTATATTAAAGTATCCTGAAAAAAAAAACTATCACAGTTTCCACAAAAATATTAAGCAGCAATAACATTCATAATAATAGCCATTATTAACAGTGTTGGGAGTAACGCATTACAAAAGTAATAATATTACAGTAGTATATTACTTTTTGCTGTAACGGAGTAATATAACGCATTACTAATAAAATTTGGGTAATATAATTACTCGTTACAATCTCAGTAACGCAAGTTACAACAACATATTTTAACTCAAAATTAAGTGGTGAATTTACCAACACCGCAAAACAGCACTAGAGAAAAAATTCCGCGGGTAAAATATTGGGTCCCACTTTATTTTAAGTGGCCTTAACTACTATGTACTTACATTTTAATTAATAATTTGGTACAATGCACTTATTGTGTACATACATGTTTTTACATTGTATTTATATATGAAAAATACCTTCAAGGAATTACATCTTTAATTAATTTCTGTAA